AAAAAAAAAAAAAAAAAAAAAAAAAAGTGTGAAGAGGGCTGCTAAGGGCACAGGATCCCTTCCTGAAGAGATCATCTCACAGCTCAGTGCAGTGGAGGCTCCGAAAGTTTAGCAGGTGGATTGAGGGTCTGTGAGTTTTATCTACAGCAGCTGTTAGGACTTCTTCTAAGTGAAGCCTGAGGGCGAGGCGAGGCGAGGCCTTGGGGCCGAGGAGAGGCCCCATCAGGACAGATATTTTACATTCTTTTCCTTTTGACTTAATTCTGCTCTTACGGACAAGTCAAGGGAGCCGTGCAGATAACTTCCGTCTTCTCTTCCCTAAATTCCTCAGTCGTAAACGTTTGGCTTCAGTTGCTTTAGCATCCCCTCCTCCGCTCACATCCCGACCCTGGGTGTGTGTGTAAAATATAAATAGGTATGTTTATCATTCTTTTTCTGAGCCCTTTGAGAGTGGGCTGCAGACGTGCTGCCCCTCACCCCTAAGCGCTCCAGTGAGTCTTCTGAGAACAAAGACAGCCCCTTATGTGACTGGTAGATTCTCAGCATCCTTCCTATCCGCTCACCTACAGACCATATTCCAACTGTCGCCACGGGGTCCTCTGTGGATCACTGTGTCGTCCTGCTGTCCTCGGTCCCTGCGCTCTGGAAGTGTCTCTATGTCCCCCGGGTCCTCTGGCCACTGCGGGCCTGTCAGCTGCGTCCCCAGACTGGGCTCCGGTGGTGCAGTTTCCACAGGAACCACGGAGGGGGGCTGTGTTCGCCCTGTCCTGGTGGATCCCCTCGACGCTTGGAGAAGCTGAGGTTGGCCGGGCTTCTCCAAAGTGAAATCACGCATTTCCCCTTGTAGTTGTCTTGAGGGGAGACTTTGGGACTCTGAGGGTAGAGCGTACTCCTCACACCTCAGCCTCGAGCTGCATTCATAGGATGTGGGGCAGATGCAGGCTGCTTGCCCCCCAGCAGCACGCAGGAGGCAGGGTGTGCTACGTATGTTTATACACAGCTCCAGCTTGCAGGGGCAGGAGACCACAGCCCAGAGAGTGAGGCAGCCTAGCTTGGGTTGCCCAGCAGGGAGTGACGGAGCTGGAATTTGATCCCCGGCTACCTGACTTCCCAAATCATGAATGCTCAGCCAGAACGGGCACCTGGAGGCGTGAGATGGAAGGACGGCGGTGGTGGGCATCCCACTCTTCTGGCCTGGCTGGATGACAGTAGTTCTGTGATCAGTTGGTGACCCAGCAGGATAGGAACCCAACCATCCACCCCTATCCTTTCTCCCTCCCTTCTTTCCTTCCTTCGTTCTATCCATCCATCATCCATCATTCATCATCCATCCATCCATCCATCACCCATCACCCATCATCCATCCATTATGCATCTATCCATCCACTCATGCTTCCTTCCTTATTTGCTGACCATATATTGTATTAGACCTGTTGTAAACAAGACTGGCACAGAGCCTGTCCTTGCATCACTCATAGGCTAGTGGGAACAGACAGGCAATGAGCAAGTGTGTGGGATACAACACCAGGATGGGGTGAGTGCTTGGAAGAGAACAGAGCTAAGTAAGAGGAAGAGGTCTCTGAGGAAAAGACTTTTGAGCCGATACCAGTGAGACAGCCAGACTTGGGAATGTCTGGGGGAAGTGCACCCCAGGCTTCCAGAACAGTACATGCAAAGGCCCTGAGGTGGGAACAAGGGCAGTGCCCTGGAGGAACAGCAGGGAGACCCAAGTGCTGGAGTGGGTGAGGCGAGTGTGAAGGAAGCAGGGTCAGCTGATGTGTGTCTCGTGGGTCTTGAGGAGTTTAGATGTTTAAAGCATGATGGGGAATCCCAGGAAGATTTTGAGCTGATTCACGTTAGAGCACTTTTTATCCTTTTAATTCATGATTGGTTTTAGAACAATTTTTATAGCAGCTTTATTGAGATGTCATTCACATACTGTACAATTTGCCCATTTAAAGGATACAATTCAGAGAATTTCAGCGCATTCAGAGCTGTGCAACCAACCCCACAGTCTAATTCCAGAACATTCCATCCAGGGCTGCAGAGCTGGAGTTGCAGGGTCATGGCAGGGGTGGGGCAGCCAACCCTAACCTGGCTTTTTCTCTCCCCATCCCCAGGAGGCAACACGTTTGAGACCCACATCATTGGGGGTCGAGAGGCTGCCCCCAACTCACACCCATACATGGTCTCGCTGCAGAAATCCGGCTCCCACCTGTGTGGGGGGGTCCTCGTGCACCGGCAGTGGGTGTTGACAGCTGCCCACTGCCTGACCCATCCGTGAGTGACCCTGCCCTGCCCCACCCCCATCCCCCCAGGTGTCCCCAAATCTATGCTGTCATCCCCACTCTCACCTGAGAGATTTAAGCCAATTATAGCATTGTAGGGGGGTCCCCTTGCCCTCTGCAGTGATTGCTGAGGCGTGCGTATGTGACATTGACCTTAGGCGTGCGTATGTGACATTAGGCCATGAGGATTCCTGGGGATGGTTTATCTGCTACAACAAAGCACCTTCCAAGTGGACAGAGTCAGGCCCCTTGTGACACCCAGGAGTATATCTCCCACCTGTGGCCATGTGGACAGAGCTGGTCTATGAGGGCGGCAGGGTCTACACAGAGAGGAACCCGGGTCCCTGATGCCATTGTGAAGCCACCAGATAAATCCATCCCAGAGCTGCCCTATCTCTGGTCTGGCCAGTAACAAAGACCACAGATCAAACTGGGTGAAATAACCAAAAGGGATCTGTCGGTTCACGTAACTGAAAACGCCAAGAGGAGGCGGCCTTCAGGCATGGCTTGGTCCAGGTGCTCCCATGAGGCGCTCAAAAGCTTGCCTGTGTCTCAACTCTGCTGTCTTGCCCCCTGGCCACATTATCAGGCAGGCTCCCTCCCGTGGTGGCAAGGATGGGCCCCCTTAAGTCCTGTAAAAAGAGCTTCTTTCTCTCCAGTCTGGGCAAGTTTATGAGGATAGGTACCGATGGGCCCAGCTAGGTCACTGCCAGCCTCTGAACAAATCACTGATGTTGAGGCATAACATAAGCGCTGTCTGGAGCCCCAGGCTGGTGGTGGGGGCAGGGAGGGTCAGCATTTTTAAGACACACACAGCACAAGGCCCTGGCCGGCCGAGTCTGGGGAGGGGTGGGAGCAGGGAAGGCTTACTGGAGGAGGTGGGGAGAAGAAAGGACTGAGCAGTAGCAGGGGAAGGACCGCCCAGAGAGGCTGGGGGAGGGGGTGCGGGACACCAAGTGCCCCTGAGGCTGTAGGGCTGCCGCCCACACCCTGATCTTGTGCCCCCAGGACACAGCTGCTGAGGCTGGTGCTGGGGCTCCACGTGCTCAGAGACCCTGGCCTTACCTGCCATATCAGGGAGGTGGTCCTGCACCCCGAATACAAGCCAGCCCCCCATCTGAAGAACGACCTCGCGCTGCTTAAGGTGCTGCCAGTGGGAGAAATGGTAGTTCCAGGTCCCCTCCCTCGGTGTGGTGTTCCCTTCCCCCAGGGTCCCCTCCCCACTGTCCCTCCCCCAGGATCCCCTCCCTCATCGCCCCCCCCAGTGTTCCCCTCCCCCAAGGTCCCCCCCGACCAAGGGTCCCCTCCTGCACTCACCTGCCCCTTTCTGTTCCCTGTAGCTGGATGGGAAGGTGAAACCCAGCAAGACCATCCGGCCCCTGGCCTTGCCACGAGGACGCCAGGCAGTGGCCGCAGGAGCGCGGTGCAGCGTGGCCGGCTGGGGTGTGACCCACCAGGGTGGGCAGCTGACCAAGGCACTGCAGGAGCTGGATATGCATGTGCTGGATGCCAAGATGTGCAACAACAGTCGGTTTTGGCACGGTGGCATCAGCCCCCGCATGATCTGCCTGGCAGCCCACTCCAAGAACCAGGCCCCCTGCAAGGTGAGGGCGCTGGGGTGGGGGGGCCTCATCGGCCAGCAGCTGGGCACCCAGGCAAGCCCCAACTCTCCCCGGGCCCTGCCCCCTCCATTCCCTGGGGGTCCTGAAGGTTGGCACGAGCGTCAGCCCATTTCTCAAGTGCAGAAACTGAGGCACAGAGAGGTTGCCCATGGTCACATAGCCAGCAGCAGAGCTGGGGTTTGAACTCCAGCACCCAGGAAGATCAGGGCATAGATAGAGCGTGTGCAAAGGCCCTGCGGTGGGAAGGAGGAGCAAAGAGAGTTGAAAGGAAAGGAAGGGAGGAGGGAAAGAAGGAGGTGGGGGGAAGGAGGGTGCAGGGAGAGGGGGGCAGGGGTCTCTGCCCTGGAATCAGCCTCCCGCCCCCCACCTCCTGCAGTGGGCAGCAAGGTGACCGGTGCTCTGTTGCCTCGGCAGGGGGACTCGGGAGGACCCGTGATGTGCAGCAGAGGCCAAGTGGCTGGAATCCTGTCCTTCAGCTCTAAGGTCTGCACCGACATCTTCAAACCCCCCGTGGCCACCGCCGTGGCCCCCTATAGGTCCTGGATCAAGAAGGTCATCGGCCACTAGCGACCCACCTCCCTAACCCGACCCTCCAGAGGTGGCCCGACTCCCCTTCTGTGCGCCAGCAGGATTGCAGGGAGGGGCGGCCGGGGGCCTGCACGTGTCAGGAGACCAATAAACTGTAATAAGGAAATGGCATGAGCTGGCCTGGATTCTGCCTCATGCGGGGCTGGGGGGGGGGCGGGGGGAATGAGGGTTCCCCATTTACAAAACAGAGGTTGCAGGTTTGAGGCTTCCCAGGCGGCCCAGCAGCTGGTGAGGGCCCCAAGGGCGCCTGGCAGGGGGCAGCGCTGGCCACTGGGTTCCGGAAGCCAGATTCCCTCTGGCAGGGGGTGGGCTGGGCACTGGGGAGCCAGAGGGAGACACTGAGAAAGCAGCCAGGGATCTTCTTTCCCCTCTCTTTTATTTTGGTACCGCCTTTATTGAGATATAATTCACACGCCATACAATTCACCCTTTTGAAAAGTGTGTAATGCAGTGGTTTTCGGGAAGAACGACCTCGCGCTGCTTAAGGTGCTGCCAGTGGGAGAAATGGTAGTTCCAGGTCCCCTCCCTCGGTGTGGTGTTCCCTTCCCCCAGGGTCCCCTCCCCACTGTCCCTCCCCCAGGATCCCCTCCCTCATCGCCCCCCCCAGTGTTCCCCTCCCCCAAGGTCCCCCCCGACCAAGGGTCCCCTCCTGCACTCACCTGCCCCTTTCTGTTCCCTGTAGCTGGATGGGAAGGTGAAACCCAGCAAGACCATCCGGCCCCTGGCCTTGCCACGAGGACGCCAGGCAGTGGCCGCAGGAGCGCGGTGCAGCGTGGCCGGCTGGGGTGTGACCCACCAGGGTGGGCAGCTGACCAAGGCACTGCAGGAGCTGGATATGCATGTGCTGGATGCCAAGATGTGCAACAACAGTCGGTTTTGGCACGGTGGCATCAGCCCCCGCATGATCTGCCTGGCAGCCCACTCCAAGAACCAGGCCCCCTGCAAGGTGAGGGCGCTGGGGTGGGGGGGCCTCATCGGCCAGCAGCTGGGCACCCAGGCAAGCCCCAACTCTCCCCGGGCCCTGCCCCCTCCATTCCCTGGGGGTCCTGAAGGTTGGCACGAGCGTCAGCCCATTTCTCAAGTGCAGAAACTGAGGCACAGAGAGGTTGCCCATGGTCACATAGCCAGCAGCAGAGCTGGGGTTTGAACTCCAGCACCCAGGAAGATCAGGGCATAGATAGAGCGTGTGCAAAGGCCCTGCGGTGGGAAGGAGGAGCAAAGAGAGTTGAAAGGAAAGGAAGGGAGGAGGGAAAGAAGGAGGTGGGGGGAAGGAGGGTGCAGGGAGAGGGGGGCAGGGGTCTCTGCCCTGGAATCAGCCTCCCGCCCCCCACCTCCTGCAGTGGGCAGCAAGGTGACCGGTGCTCTGTTGCCTCGGCAGGGGGACTCGGGAGGACCCGTGATGTGCAGCAGAGGCCAAGTGGCTGGAATCCTGTCCTTCAGCTCTAAGGTCTGCACCGACATCTTCAAACCCCCCGTGGCCACCGCCGTGGCCCCCTATAGGTCCTGGATCAAGAAGGTCATCGGCCACTAGCGACCCACCTCCCTAACCCGACCCTCCAGAGGTGGCCCGACTCCCCTTCTGTGCGCCAGCAGGATTGCAGGGAGGGGCGGCCGGGGGCCTGCACGTGTCAGGAGACCAATAAACTGTAATAAGGAAATGGCATGAGCTGGCCTGGATTCTGCCTCATGCGGGGCTGGGGGGGGGGCGGGGGGAATGAGGGTTCCCCATTTACAAAACAGAGGTTGCAGGTTTGAGGCTTCCCAGGCGGCCCAGCAGCTGGTGAGGGCCCCAAGGGCGCCTGGCAGGGGGCAGCGCTGGCCACTGGGTTCCGGAAGCCAGATTCCCTCTGGCAGGGGGTGGGCTGGGCACTGGGGAGCCAGAGGGAGACACTGAGAAAGCAGCCAGGGATCTTCTTTCCCCTCTCTTTTATTTTGGTACCGCCTTTATTGAGATATAATTCACACGCCATACAATTCACCCTTTTGAAAAGTGTGTAATGCAGTGGTTTTCGGTACATTCCTAGGGTTGTGCAACCAGCCCCTCTGTCCAGTTCCAGAACATTCCATCACCCCAAAAGCAACCCCGTCCCCTCCCCCAGCCCCTGACAACCAGGAATCCACTCCCTGTGTCTGTGGATCTGCCTGTTCTGGACGTTTCCCATCAATGGAATCACACCCTGTGTGTCCATATCTGGCTTCTCTCACGGAGCATTGTGTTCTCAAGGTCTGTCCACGTTGTAGCGAGTGTCGGGGCTACTGAGTGACGTTCCTGGGTGTGGAGGGACATGTGTGTGTATCTGCTCACCTGTCCGTGGACACCTGGGCTGTTTCCACCCTGGCTGCTGTGGCCATGGGTGCACAGGCGCATGTGTGGATGTGTGTTTTCAGTTCTCCCGGGCCTGCACTGATGAGGGAGAGCTTGCTGGGCCATGTGGTGGCTTTCTGTTGAACGGTGTGTGGAACTGCTGTTTTCCAGCAGAATCTTTTACTTTTACTATGAAAACCTCAAACACACAGCCACGTTGAAATAACTGCACACTGAACACCTAGGTGCCCACCATGCAGGCTCTGCCAGGAGCAGGTGATGTGCCTGCTTCTTGGTCCACTGTCCGTCCGTCCATCCGTCTGGCTTTGTCGCATCTCACAGCAGACAGACACTGCCCTGTGGGGACACGGCCAGGATTGCAGGGCTTATTTAGTGCCCTGTCTCTCCCTCCTACACGGCGGAATGCACAAATCTCACTCAAGGATTTGCTGCTCTGACAGCAAGGACAGATATGAACAACACAAGCCCTGCAGCATTCACATCCCTGACCCCAGGAGATCGCTCAGCCCCTCACAGGCTTGTCTTGAATGGAGCTTTTGCATAGTGACTACAGCACATGGGCGAGAAGTTAAAAGGACAAAACCCGCCAAGGGAAAAAAGTGCCCCACGTCATCCATCGATAACCTTTTTCCCAGGAAGTAACTGCCTCTGGTGCCTTCCGTCCTCATCTGAGGGTTTTCTAAGCAGGAAAGGCCACTGCTCAGGCAGCCAGCCCGGCACTGCCTCAACCCAGGCCAGGGAGCAGCTCCCGGCCCCCACCCGCTGCCCGTATCCGCTTGTCTGGGCTATGGGCCCAGAAGTGGAGTTTGCCCATCAGAAGGCAAGGGCTTTTCCCCTTTGGTGATGGCAGCAGAATTTCTTGTCTGCTGAGCACAGACCGAGTTCCAGGCCTCCTGCAAAGTGTTAAGATGCTTTAGGAAACCCTTGCCATCTTTATTCCAGAGCCAGAGAGAAGGAAGGATGAAAAAGAGGAGGAGGACGGAGACCACCCACCTTCTCTCTCCCTCTCTCTTTTCTTTTCCAAACTGCTAAAGCTTCCTTATCTTTTTTTTTTTTAAATAGACTTTATTTTTTAGAACAGTTTTTTTTTTTTTTGCGGTACGCGGGCCTCTCACTGTCGTGGCCTCTCCCACTGCGGAGCACAGGCTCCGGACGCGCAGGCTCAGCGGCCATGGCTCACGGGCCCAGCCGCTCCGCGGCACGTGGGATCCTCCCGGACCGGGGCACGAACCCGCGTCCCCTGCATCGGCAGGCGGACTCTCAACCTGCCGATTTAGGGAAGCCCTATTTTTAGTTTCCCTAAAAATAGGGAAGCCCTATTTTTAGTTTTTTAAGGAACCTCCATAGTGTTCTCCATAGTGGCTGCACCAATTTACATTCCCACCAGCAGTGCAAGAGGGTTCCTTTCTCTCCACACCCTCTCCAGCATTTACTATTTATAGACTTTTTGATGATGGCCATTCTGACTGGTGTGAGGTGATACCTCACTGTAGTTTTGATTTGCATTTCTCTAATAATTAGCAATGTTGAGCATCTTTTCATGTGCTTGTTGGCCATCTGTATGTCTTCTTTGGAGAGATGTCTATTTAGGTCTTCTGCCCACTTTTCGATTGGGTTGTTTGTTTTTTTTATATTGAGCCACATGAGCTGATTGTATATTTTGGAGATTAATCCCTTGTGGGTCGCTTCGTTTGCACATATTTTCTCCTATTCTGTGGGCTGTCTTTTCATTTTGTTGATGGTTTCCTTTGTTGTGCAAAAGCTTTTAAGTTTAATCAGGTCCCATTTGTTTGCTCTAGCAAGTTAATCAGACCCGAGGAGATGGGTGGCAGGAACCCCAATAGCTGGTCAGTCAGAAGCTCAGGGGACATGGTGGACTTGGGATGGGTGTGTGGGGTGGGGGCAGACCTGTGGCGCTGGCCTGTAACCTGGGGGTCTGACCGACTCTGGGCAGAGAGGGTCAGAACTGAGTTAAACCTTCAGGATGGCGTCCTCTGGGCATTGGAGGACTGCTGGGTGCTTGACAAACACCCCAGGCAAACACCCCTGTGTAACCAGCGCCTAGGTCGACAGACAGAGCAGGAGCCCCCCAAGCCTCCTCCCCAGCAAGGTTCCCACCTCTGGGTTCCCATCCCCGAGATGGGTCCTGCCTGCCTGTGCGTCCCCGAGGATACTGCTCTGTGTCCGGGTCCTTCCCTCAAGTGTGACAGTCCTCCCGCCTGGCCACCCACACCATTCCCATGGGGTGTTCCATCGAGCACCCCGCTCACATTTCCACGCTCTTGTAGACCAGGGGGTCTCACCTGGGGCAATTCTGTCCCAGGGGACACGGGGCCACAACTGGGGATGTCTGTGGTCCCTAGGACTTGGGGGCTCCAGCGTTGAGAACATGGGGCCGGGGAGGCCGCTCCACACCCCATGGTGCCCGGGATGCCCCACAGACGGTGAGCCCCCCCATGGCAGCAGGTGGGGTTGGGGAGCCCCGATGGAGGGACCTAGGCTTGTCTCTGGAGGTCTGGGGCCTCACAAAGCCAGCGCCGCACTCACTGCTCTCCCAGCAAAGGGAGAGGGCTGAGCATCTGACCCCACCGGACGCACCCCAGCTGTTCCTGTGTGCATCTTCCAGCCTGCAGAAAAGCTGAAGACCCTGCAGAGAGCGGCGGTATGCCCCACCTCCAGAGCTGGCACGGTTGGCACTTTGCACATTCCCTGCCTGTTCTGGACATTTCCCGTCAATGGAGTCACACCCTGTGTGTCCTTCTGTGTCTGGCTTCTCTCACTGAGCATCCTGTTCTCAAGGTCCGTCCACGTGGCGGCGAGTGTCAGGGCTTCTCTCCTTTTCAGGCTGAGTGACGTTCCCATGTGTGGAGAGACCACATGGCATTTGTCCATTTATCCGTCGAGGGACACATGGGCTGTCCCGGCGCCCTTGGCTGCTGTGGGTGCACGGCTGCCCTCTGGCCGCCGCCTTCCCGCAGTTCAGCTGCGGAAGGATTTCGGCATCACACCGCCAGCAGGGCCACCGGACGTTGCAGTTTTCAGGGATCTGTGCCATCCTCCAGTAAGTCCCTGATTGGGAGGGGGGAGGGCCGGCGGCAGGGACCTGGGGTGGCTCCAGCTGGACGGAGATCAGTGGAGGCCTGAGGCCCTGGAGGGGGAAGCTTATCTGCGTCCACAGCTGTCGCCTCCCGCCCAGCTGAGCCCCACCCCACGCCCAGGTGAGCAGGACCCTGAGAGCCTTAAAGGGACAGAGTGAGGCACTGACAGCAGGACATGCTGGGGGACTCGGGGCACCAGGGCACCGCCACAGGGGGTCAAAGGGCACGACCGAGTGGCAGGGCTGGGCGGGGGCTCTGGTCTCTGCCGGTTTCAGCTGGCCCGCTGGGAGTTGGGGGATGGTGGGAGAGGGACCCTGCAGGGAATGCGTTTCCCAAAACCAACCCTACACCTGGCCGCTCAGAGCAACTGTGTTGTGTCCTGGAATAAGGGCCAGGAAAGCAACAGGACGGCTCAATGCAGTGTCCCCAGGGCCTGGGAAAAACTTGCCATAAGGGCTGAGGTTGGGGCCTTCAGGGAGACTGGACCTCAGGGAAGATCCAACATTGATCTACAGGGAGACCTCAGATGGGTCTTCGGATCCCAGCCTTCGTGTCGCATCTTAGCGTGAAGGCGGTGGTGTCCTCACACGCAAATGGTTCTGGAAAATGTGAGAGGGAAACACAGAGACAGAGATGGAGAGACAGAAAGAGAGGGACAGAGACAGAGAGAGACAGAGACAGAGGAAGGGGTTGGGGCACAAACGTGGCCAAGGCCCCTGGCCGAGAATCCAGGTGCAGGGGGCTGCTGTCCCCAGGGTGCCTCTGTAGGTTTGAGGACTTCTCAAAATAAACTGTTGAGAAACAAAGAACCCTCCCCTTGTTCCACCAGGACAAAGACATCAGCAACAGGATGAGGAAACCTTGAAACGCCAGGACACCTTAAAGCTCAACCCCCACGAGGCCCAGGGAGGGTTTCCGTTGACAGCAGCGCCCCAGGTGTTCAGGACACTGTGCATCACAACTGTGCAGGGAAAGAACCTCTTGAATTCTCTGCCATCTCAGCGGGGGAGGCTGAGGAGAGGCTGGATTAGCTCTCACTTTCAGATGCTTTGTTATGTTTTGTTTTGTCCTGTTTTTACCTATCGGACTTGTTCGCTAGGAGAGATCACCAGCCCCCGGCCACGTTCATCTGGGGGAGCCGCCTGTCACTTTTCCAGGGAGGGCAGTAGTTAAGAAGGAGAAGCCAAAGAAGGTCAGAGGGCAGCTGCTTCTGTAAATCCCTTCCGGGCGTGTCTGCCCTTGAAGCAGGAGCTGGACTGGCGGGTGAGTCCCGGCCCCCCGCCTGCAGGGAGCCTCCCTGGCTCCCAGCTTGGCGTCCGCCCTGACCACCCTACCACCACCGGCCACCACGTCAGTCAACCCCAGAGCTAAAGGAACCGACCACCCGACCCTCTGTACCATCTCCTGGGGCCGCTGCAGCAGAGCGCCACAAGCTGGGCTGCTTACATAGCAGAAATTATGTTCTCACGGTTCTGAAGGCCACAAGTCTGAGACGGGGTGTAGGCAGGGCTGTGCTCACTCCGTGGGCAGGGGGTCCTTCCCGCCCCTCCCAGCTCCTGGTGTGGCCCACGGTCCTTGGTGTCCTGGGTCTGTGGTCCCATCACCCCATCCTCTGTCTCCGATTTTTTATTTTATTTTTATTTTTTAAAGATTTTTTTTTTTGATATGGACCATTTTTAAAGTCTTTATTGAATTTGTTACAATATTGCTTCTGTTTTACGTTTTGGTTTTTTGGCCCGGAGGCATGTGGGATCTTAGTGCCCCGACCAGGGATCAAACCCACACCCCCTGCATTGGAAGGCGGAGTCTCTACCACTGTACCACCAGGGAAGTCCCTGTGTCTGTCTCTTATAAGGTCATTGGATTCAGGGCCATCCTCATCCAGGATGAGCTCATGTCAAGACCCTTAATTTAGTTACATCTGCAAAGACGTTTTTTCCAAATAAGGAAGGCCCCATTCTCAGGTCTGGAAGCAACCACTGCACCATCCTGTCCCCCCAGTCCCACGCCTTCCCTGCCCAGGACCCTCTCCCCACAGCCCCGGACCTGTCTACAACACACGGAAGATAGAAGACTAAGACCCTCCCTCGTTTGGATCCCTCCCCAGGGCTCCTCAGCATAAAATCCACACCCTCACCACCAGTCACCACCTGGGGAAGGGCAGGATTTCAAACTCCACCCTTTCAGAAAAATGCACTGAAAACCTTAAGCCGGGGACTTCCCCGGTGGCGCAGTGGTTAAGAATCCGCCTGCCAATGCAGGGCACATGGGTTCGAGCCAGCGCCCTGGTCCGGGAAGATCCCACATGCCACGGAGCAAGTAAGCCGGTGAGCCACAACTACTGAGCCTGCGCTCTGGAGCCCGCGCTCCACAACTACCGAAGCCCGTGCTCTGCAACAAAGAGAAGCCACCACAATGAGAAGCCCGCGCGCCACAAGGAAGAGTAGCCCTCGCTCGCTCGCCACAACTAAAGAAAGCCAGCAGGCAGCAACAAAGACCCAACACAGCCAAAAATAAATAAATAAGTAAATAAATTTTTTTAAAAACAGAAACCTTAAGTTGGAACACTTTAGCAAAGCACAGATGGGTGTGACAGAGAATAAAACCCTCCTGTTTTCTCTCCCCTTATCTTTGCGTTCACAGCGTTTCGTAGGAAGAGGTAGAAAGCAAAGCACACAGCCAGAGACGGGACAGTGGCTGGTGTCCTGAGTATGAGGCCCGGAGAAAGGACGGCTCGGGGGCAGCCAGGGCCAGGTGGGAAGGGCCGGTCGGAGACTCGGGAAGGCGTGCCCGGTGACAGGCACAGCCAGGCAAAGGCTCGGGGCAGGGACAGTGCCAGCAAGGCTGGAGCCAAGCGCGGGGGAGGTGAGGGCGCTGAGGCCCCAGAGGGGAGTTCGGCTCTTCCTTCGTCCTGCCTGGCTAGAGCCAGCGGTGGCCTGTCTGTGCCAACAGCAGAGCCGGGAAGCGCTTTTCTTGCCCTTCTGTTTGTGGATCTCTGGACCGCTCCCAGGGCGCCCGCAGGCCTCAGAGCGGGAGACCCAGGGAGGATGCTGGCTCTCCCACGGCCAATTAGGGGCGCCCGCAAGCCCAGGCCTTGCCGGCTGTGCGTGTCCCTGCCCGCATGCACAGCCGGCAAGGAGCACGGTGTGAGCACGGGGTGCACGCGAGGACAGAGAGTTGGGGGGGTGAAGAGGGGAGTTAAGGGTGACTGGATCGGCTGCTTTCGACAGGCGGGGTCAGAGGTGCCCTGTGGAACACAGGGCTACAGGACAACCAGTGACATCTGAATTTCAGACAGACAACAGATCGTTTTTAGTGTAAGTATATAGCAGAGAGTGTGTGGGATATATTATACTAAATAATTAGTGCCTTTTGCAAATCTGAAATTCAAATGTAACTGGGTGTCATGTGTTTTTATTTGCTGAATCCGGCCACCCTTGCCTGGGCTCATCCTGAAAGGCCTCTTCTTAGAAGCAGAAGGGGACATGGGACCCTCCTGACCCAGCTGCGGCCAGGACCCAACTGAGGAGGGAGGGGGCAGGGGGGCACCACTGTGTTCTGGCAGCCCCGCGATTTCCCACGAGTCCCGCCCTCAGCCCGGCTCTGGGCCAACCGGGGCACGGAGATCCGCCCAGACCCGGAGGTGCTTTGAGGCCAGCTGCCCGCTTGCCACCCTCCTCCCGCACGTCCCTCTCGACCCCGCTCCATGCAGCCTTGCTGAGCCTGCCAGTGCGTCTGCAGGAGGAGAGGCCTCTGTCCTGGCCTCTCTGCCACACCCTTCTAGCCTTTTCCTCCAGGATCCCCGGCCTCGCAGCGAGGGCTCTGCCGGCTCTGCCCAGGCTCCTCCTCCAGCTGCCTCCCCCTGCCGCTGACAAGCTGCTCCCAGACCCACAGCTCAGCCCTCCAGGGGCTGCTGCCCCTCCTCATACACGTGTAACCTCCAATGTTGTCACCTCCAAGAGGCCACCTGGCCCCTCATCTAAAGCGGTGCCTCCTGATCGACATCACCCCATTTTTTAATTGAGATGATTCACATACCATACCATTCACCCATGAAAGCGTAAACAGTTCTGGTACATTCACAGAGTTGAGCACTCAGCATGACAATCAGTTTTAGAACATTTCATCACCCTAGAAAGCAACCCCATCGCCATGAGCAGTCCCCCCCCCTCCCCCTCCCCAGCCCCGACAACCACGAGCCCACTGTCTGTCCCTGTGCATCTGCCTGTTCTGGACGTTTCCCATCAATGGAATCACACACCGTGTGTCCTTCTGTGTCTGGCTTCTCTCACTGAGCATCGTGTTCTCAGGGTCCATCCACGTGGTAGCAAGGTCAGGGCTTCACCCCTTTTCCTGGCTGAGTGACGTTCCCGTGTGTGGAGGGACCACATTTTCTTTATTCATTCACCCATTGATGGGCATTTGGGCTGTTCCACTTTTTGGCTGTTGTGCTGCTGTGAACATCACAGTGGAAGTTTCTGTATGGACGTGAGTTTTCAGTTCTCTGTGGCACACACCTAGGACTGGCATTGCTGGGTCAGGTGGTCACTCCGTTTAACCTGTTGAGGAGCGGCTGCACCGTTTCACCTCCTCACCAGCCCTGCCCAGGGTTCCACTTCCTCATCTTGTTATTTTCTGCCCTTCTGATGAGGGCCATGGTGGTGGGTGTGAAGTGGTGTCTCCCTGTGGTTTCTGCCTGCCTTCCCCTGAGCAACTTCTCATGTGCTAATGTTATTTGCATGTCTTCTTTGGAGAAATGTGTTTTCAGATCCTTTGTCCATTTTTTAATTGGGTTATTTGTCCTTTTTAAGAGTTGAGTTAAGGGACTTCCCTGGTGTTCCAGTGGTTAAGACTGTACGCTCCCAATGCAGGGGGGCCGGGTTCCATCCCTGGTCAGGGAACTAGATCCCTCATGCCACAACTAAGAGCACACATGCGACAATGAAGATCCAGCAAGCCGCAATTAAAAAAAAAAGATCCTACACGCAGCAACGAAGATCCCCATGCAGGAGCCAAATAATTTTTTTTTTTTAACTTGAGTTATAAAAAAAGTTGAGTTGTAAGTGTTCTTTCTTTATATATTCTAGATACAAGTCCCTTATCAGATACATGATTTACCAGTGTTTTCTCCCATTCCTTGGGTTGTCTTTTCACTTTCTTCTCTGAAGCACAAAAGTTTTTACTTTTGATGAATTCCAATTTATCTGATTTTTTGTTGCTGTTGCTTTTGTGCTTTTGGTGACATATGTAAGATACCATTGCCTAATCCAAGGTCACAAAGACTGCATACCCTGGTTTTGATTGAAAGTATTTTGTCATTTTTAGAAGTATTTGTTGTAAAACACGGGGACCTCAGCGTAGGTGTTCCAGCCAAATACAGGACGGCCAGTTACATTTGAATCAGGTAAATGGTGATACTTTCCTTGCAAAACTGTGTTCAAACACTGCACGGGACACTTACACTAAGAAATTACTCATTCTCTGCCTGAAACTCTAACTTAACTGCTGTCCAGCTCTTTTTATTTGCTAAATCTGGCAGCCTCACCCCAGGGCACACATCCCACCTGCTCACAGGGATCCCCATCGCCTCCCTCGATTCTTTTTTTATTTTTATTTTTTCTCCCTCGATTCTTTTTAAATTTTTTGCACTATGGCAAACTACACATAAGTTGAGAAATTTACACTTTGAGCGTAAAGTTAAGGTCTTAACTCAAACTAGGAAGGACAGCTGGTCCCCGCCCGGTCTCGCAGGCCCCTCCCCGTTTCCTAGCAACGTAGCCTCGCCCCTGGCCGCAGCGCGCGGCCCACCCGGGTTGTCACATGGCGCCGCCCATTCAGCTTCCGTAGCGCGAGTCAGCCGGGTCCGCGCGTGCGTACGTGCGTCCGCGCGCGTGCGCAGGTGGTGGCCGGCGCACCGTGCGCCCCCCCACCCCGCGACGCCGCCTGCGTGCGCGCGCCCGGCGGCTGTCCGGTTCTTATAGCGCCGCGGGCGGCGGTTGCGCGGGGACGGCGGGACAGCGGGACATGGAGGCCGTGCGGCTCGTGGTGCTGGGGCTCGTGCTGCTGAGCGCTCAGGGCGGCTTCGGGGCAGGTAAGGACCTTGGGGTGGGGGCGCGAAGCCTGCTGGTGGTCTGGCCTGGCTGGGGGCGACCCGCCCTCTGCTCCGGGGGAGACCCCAGCCCGGGCGAGAGGGAGAGAGAGGGGCCCGGTGGAGGGAGGCCCAGCCCGGGGGGTGGGGAGGGAGACTCCGAGCTGAAGCCGACCTGCCCGAGGCAGCTTAGGAGGGACTTTCCTGCTCGGAATGCTTGGGCGGGGGCCGCAGGGGAGCCCCCGGGCGCCCAGGCCCTGGCTGTCATCCGGGAGGTGGGCTCTTGTCCTCACGGGGGCGCGGGCACCCAGGCACGTGACGGCCCCTGAGCCGGGTCGGCTTTCCGGCCGGAGGGATTGTCCTTCCCGGGATTTAGGTCCCGTGTCTCGCTCTGGCTCTGCGCTTGTCCCTGGAGTCCCACCCTTGTGGGAAGGCGTACACTCTGCTTCCTTCGTTTTTGTCTGAATTCGGGGCCCAGAAGAAGTTGGAGACTGGCCCACCCTCCTGTTTTTACAGGGGTGGAAACAGAGGCCCCGGCCGGGAGGGGAGGTATGCTAAGGTCACCGTGAGCCCCCCGGCTCAGAGCAGGAACTGTGGGGGGACTGTTTCTACAGACTCTCAAACGGAGCTCCTCACGGGAGGGGCAGCCTGTTGGGTGGGCAGACGTGGCTTAGAGAATGCTCACAGCAAAATGGGTTAAAGCGTGCTTTTCTGGGAGAAAGCAGGGCAGCCTCTCTTTTGCCTGAAAGAGAGATTTTTTTTCCTGTAAGGAGCACGACTTCCCGTTTGGTTCTGGGTTAACGATTTATAGTGACCGGCGTGTAGAGAACAAAGTGCAGACCTTGGGGGCAGGAGCAGGTGGGCTCTTGGGGGGGTGGCAGCTGCCCTAGGGCGTGGGAGGGGCTGCCCCTTAGAGAAGCTTCACCGGCTTACAGCTGACCTACTTTTAGATCTCAGTTCGCCTCTTTCTTTTGCCTCATAATCAAACCGCCATTTATTGACCGCCCTCTGGACAAGGCAGCTTGAGCCCTCTAGACGCAGCCCTCGCCAGCCGGCTGGGAAGGATGGCCCTCGGTGTTCTGCTAGGGGCACAGCTCCGATCCATCACCCTTGTCTGTGGGGTCGCTCTTACACACTCACACCATGTGGGTGTGTGCAGTGGGCGGTCCTGGTTTATTTACGCAGAGTCTGAATCCCCCTGGGGCTGTATCTGTGCCTTGTCCTCCTTTTTCACTTTCCGCCTTTCCCAGGGACTCTGGGAAAGACCTGAAAGTCTGGGTCACGTGTCCTTTTTCTGCCTGGGGTGAGTGAGTTTGTGGCAGTGTCTGCCTTTCCTGGCCAGGTCAGCTCTCCAGAAACCTGCCTCGGGCGACTCTGCTGGAGCAGGTGTCTTCGGGGTGGGGGGGCCCCCATCGCCTGAGGCCCCAGGATGGTCCTCCTGCTGGGAGAGCCCTGCTCTCCAGGCTATGCAGGGCCCTGTGGTCCAGGCGGGGCTGGTGAGCAGGCACGGGCTTGCTAGCTGGGTCCGTCTCTGAGCCTCGGGTGAGGGGCCGGAGCCCCCGGCCCGCAGGATTACAGGGGTGAGCAGCCCGGGGCTGGCCTCCCAGAGGCGGTCTCTCCTGGCCACCACCTCGTCCCGAGAGCTCCCCCCAGGATGTGTACCCGAGGCCTGCCTGGCCCTGCGCCCCACCCAGCCCGGCTGCCAAGTGGGCACAGAGGAGGGGTGGCTGTTTTTAGATGAAGGTGACTTTACTTGAGAACATGGGTTGCAGTCACGTGGTCGGGAAGGAGGGTCAGGCACTCTCGGGTTCCCAGGGCTCTGGGAGGGCCTGCCTGTGCATGGCCGGGGCCCCTGTGAGTTCTTGGGGTGCTGCCCTGGGCCTCCTGGGCACTGGGCGTGGCTGGGGGTTCTGGAGGGTGGGCTTTTCACCCTTTTTCTGTCACCGCCCCCTGAGGAGCATTTTCTTTTTTTGGGGGGGGGTACGCGGGCCTCTCACTGTTGTGGCCCCTCCCGTTGCGGAGCACAGGCTCCGACGCGCAGGCTCAGCGGCCATGGCTCACGGGCCCAGCCGCTCCGCGGCATGTGGGATCTTCCCGGACCGGGGCACGAACCCGTGTCCCCTGCATCGGCAGGCGGACTCGCAAACCACTGCGCCACCAGGGAAGCCCCCCTGAGGAGCATTTTGAGGCATTCTTTCTGATGGCCCTGTCCCAGTGACCTGTCAGTGTCACAGATGTTACGTCCCCTGTGGCAGCAGTCTCTGTGGTGGCCCTGGGGGCCACAACCCAGCACCCCCCTTGGAGTGACCCGGCCTATTGAGGATGGGTGACCGGCATGTGGCAGGTCACTGGGGCGGATGGGCTGGCTCCCTTGCTGCGTGTGTCCCTCTGACCAGGACAGGGGTGTCAGCCTGCGGGGCCTCAGGCAGGGAGGGCTCTCCTGGGCGAGGCTGGCCAGCCCGTTGGCCTCTGCAGACACCTGGGATGGGTGGAGTTGGGGCCCACCTCTGCCCCTCTCTGAGAGCTGAGGCCCCCCGCCCTGCTGCCACCTGGAGGAGTCCTGCGGGCACTCCTCTCTCCTCCAGGAGGCAGGGTGGGGCCTGGGTAAGACCTGCCTGAGCACCCCTGTCCGAGGCTCTAGGGTGCAGAGGCAGGCCCTGTCTGGGCAAAGCGCCGCCTCTGGCCTCACTTTGCTACCCTGACTCACCTCCCAGCTCTGTACGGAGCTGCTGGTTCTGCAGTCTAGGGAAATCTTGACGGAGAAATGCGGGTTTCCGGAGGCCTTTGGTGAAAGTGACGCAGAGGTCCAGCCTCACGCCCCTGTCTGCCTGTAACTGCCTGGCCTGAGTGGCCAGTGGGCGGACGTGAAGGTCAGCCTGTCCCCGGGGCCTTGTGGCCAGCCAGGTGTGCTCTCCTACACGGCCGGTGCGCACACATGTGCCGCGTGTGCCTCTGCAGCTACGTGTCCATGCACACGTGCGGGCACTGCCGCGGCTGTGCCCCCAGGAGCAGGGAGCACCTGGAGCTGCAGAGGGGCCTCCTTTGCTTCAGTCCCTGCTGGCCCAGACTTCTGAGACGTCCTGTCCCCTTTTAAAGGAAGAGCCAGCAGGTGGCCAGAGGCAGGGCGGTGAGGACTGGCGGCTCAGGAAGAGGCCCCGCCGGGCCCTGCACGTGTTCTGTGCACGGGCTGGCCTTGGGTCCCGCCTCTTCCACCCGAAGGAGGCTGGCGTCCTCCGGACCCAAATGCAGCCGGGGAGCAGGGGCCTGCGTGTGGCCAGCCCACCCAGGACCTAACACGCAGGCCCAGGCGGGATCTCAGACGCCCAAGGAGATGTGCGCTCTGCCCGCAGTCGTTCCAGAAAGCTGCCCAGCTGTGAAGTCTGTCCTGGGATTTGAGCTTTAATTTTCTTAGCGGCTAAGCAGTCCGTGAGGACGGGGGAGCCCGAGGAAGCTCTGCTGTCCTGTGCGGCCAGACACCATCTTCTCCTGCTGTCAGGACATCTTGCCTCTGGTTTGGATTATCGGGCATCAGCCGGAGGGTTCCTGGTGCCAAGTCCAGCCGGGGGTCGTGACCTGGGATCATTCTGCTCGGCTTCATGTGCTTTGTCTGTGCTCACACAGTTGTGCCGTCAGAAGTCACCGTGTGACCCCAGTGAGGGAGCGGGGGTCCGGGGTGGCGGCCTGCCCGGTGGGTGTTGGGGCCCCGCAGCCTGGCTGCTTTCCTACTGGCTGAACCGTTCCAGTGCAGTCCTGGATTCTGCTTTCACCTGATTTTATGCCAGAGGCCTCTGGGCCGGCGCCCTGTGGGCGTGGCCTTCTCCAAGGGTCGCCTAGGGTGCGTGGGTGTGGGCGACGGTTCTGGAGAAACAGGCGCTTCCTGGTAGACACCACTGTGCCTTGGACCCGGCTTTATAAAGTCCCCACTGTCCCCAAGGGCAGCTGCCCCGGGTTCCCGGGTGGTTTGACAGGAGTATCCCCGGGACACCTGCTCCCAGCCCTGGGATAGGGCTCTGGTGTGGACATTCACTGAAGGTCAGCGCCTGGAGGTGCGGCCTGACCCCCAGCAAAGGGGTCTTCATTCTGGTCTGCCGTCCCGGCCCCCTCCCTGAACGCGCAGAGGTCTGGGGTCTCCTGCCCCCGGTCCCTGGAGCGGAGCCTTCCCCAGCTCAAGCCCAGCCTCCCGGCTCCAGTACCGCCAGCGTGCTTCTCCCTGTCTGGGTCCAACTGGCTTCACATTTTGGTTCCTCAAGAGAAGCGCGCAATGAATGGGGAGGCTTGCCTGGTTGCAAACTGAGAGGAAGGGCTGCTGGGAGTCGCGCCAGCGTCCCAGGCAGGAGGACAGACTATCATTTGTATGGAGGTTTGTGGCACATGCGGCCTTCTGAGAAGCAGGCACCTCCGGGACGGGGCCGCTGCAGCCCCCTGGCCCCCGTGGCCTGAGCACGCCTGCCCCACCCACCCCGGTGGCCTTGCCTTGGTTGTGGGGAAGGGGGCCTGCACGCCTACCCAGAGCGGGAGTGGCGACCTGGGCGGTGATGGACTTCAACTTCCGGGAAAGGCCTTTCGGGGCTGCGGGGCTGGGCCCAGCGGTCGCTGCCCTGGCTCTTGTTCTGGGACCGGGGTAGGCGCTGCTGCTGTTCCCACGCCCAGGGCCCAGCCAGTTAGGACAGTTCCCGGCAGAATCCTGCCCCAGACCCCGAGGGGAAGGCTTTCCAGGAGCCCCATGCGGTGCTGCTGTTCAGCCCTGGCTTCTCTCCCTCCGGGGAGTTGCGGCTGGGGGAAGTGGCAGGCTCCTTGGGTTCTCCCCGACACTGTTCTCTCTTCTTCGGCTGCCCAGGGAGCACGATCTGGACTTCCGTAGATGATGATGGCTCCAGAACCCGCCTCACATGCGCCTTGAATTACAGCGCCACCGAGATCGTGGGCCACCGCTGGGTGAAGGGGGGCAAGGTGCTGAGGGAGGACGCGCTGCCCGGCCTGAGGACAGAGTACGAGTGAGTGAGGCTGCCCCAGCAGCAAAGGGCGGGGCCTGCCTTGTCTCCAGGGGCCTCTGGTCAGCGAGTATGGAGGTTGTAGTCGGTGGGCTGGCTCTGGACAGAAGTTGGGGTCGGGCTCAGACGGGGGTTTGGAGACAGCTGAGGCCCGGGATGCAGAGAGGGTCCAGTGGCTGCCAGACTTCACCACCTCCAAGACCCGTTCCTCCTTCTGGCGCATTGGGGACCCTGGTCCCTGGCTCGCTGGGTTCTGAGCACCACCAGGGCCACTGCGGAGCCTTGTCTGGGGGGAGGAGCGGCTCTGGAAGCCCAGGGCTCCTGGATGTGGGTGTGGGGTAAGCTGCCTGCCGCCCCTGCACCTCCTGGTCCCTCCTCCCCGGGGAGGCACCCCCCCCCGCCCCCGCCCCCGCCTGGCAGGGTTTGGACAGAAGCTTCTCGGCTCACACCCCGCTCACGGCGTCTGCCTGCAGCGTGGACTCGGACGACCGCTCGGGCCAGTACTCCTGCATCTTCCTTCCGGAGCATGCGGGCCGCACCGACCTGGAAGTGAAGGGTGGGCTCCTGGGGGCCCCGGGCCCAAGGGGCTGGGGTGGAGGCGGGCAGGGCGGCTCCATGTCCGGCCCCGGGGTCAGGCTCCAGCCCGCCCTCCTCCCGTCAGGGCCCCCCAGCGTCAAGGCGGTGAAGAAGTCGGAGCACGCCACCGAGGGGGAGACTGTGGTGCTGGCCTGCAGGTCGGACTCCTTCCCGCCCGTCGCCGACTGGCTGTGGTCCAAGGTGACCGACTCTGGGGACCAGGCCATCACTAACAGCTCCCAGGACAAGTTCTTCGTGGTCTCCTCGGGGACCAGGACGGAGCTGCATGTCCCAGACCTGGACCTGAGCTCAGACCCCGGCAAGTACGTGTGCAACGGCACCAGCTCGGAGGGCTCTGGCCAGGCGGTCCTCACGCTGCGCGTGCGCAACCGCTTTGCCGCCCTCTGGCCCTTCCTGGGCATCGTGGCCGAGGTGCTTGTGCTGGTCACCGTCATCTTCATCTACGAGAAGCGGCGGAAGCCGGACGAGGTCCTAGATGGTGAGCCGGGGCCGCTGTCCGGGAGTGTGGGCCTGAGGGTCAGCCCCCTTGGCCACCGTGTCCCGGGGCACCCGCCCCCTTCCCTTACGGCCTCACCTGCCCCTCTTTCCTCACTGGGCTGCCAGCGGGCATCCTCTGCGGTCAGTGCTCCTCCATGGGCTTGGTCTCCACCTGTGGAGACTGCTTTGGGCCCAGGGCTGTGGCACCAAGTGAGCCCCTGGCCTTGTGTGATGGGGCCACTGGGGTGCCTGCCCGTGGGCGGGGCTGGGGGCCAGGCAGGGCCCCCAGGTGCCCCTCACACTGAGACCCCAGACAGCTCACGTGAGGGTGCGTGTCCTGGGGTGGGCTGGCCCCCACATTGCAGTTGGGGAGGCTGAGGGCGGCGCCCCGCGGGATGGGGCCACCGAGTGCGTGGCCTGGTGCGACCACCGCTGACAGCCCGCCCTTCTCTCTTGCATGTGGCTGTGCACCTGCACAGATGAGGACGCCGGCTCTGCTCCGCTGTAAGTCCCTGCCTTGCTGGGGGTGGGCGGGTCGCTGGGCTGAGCTGGGAGGCGTGAGGGGCAGCTGTCTGGCCCTTCTGTCACCAGGAAGAGCAGCGGGCACCACGTGAATGACAAAGACAAGAACGTTCGCCAGAGGAACTCCAGCTGAGAGGTGAGGGGGGGAGGGGGGGGCTCCTGCTCCTGAGGCTGGTCCGAGCGCCCCCCCACCCCCCCACCCCACAGGACCAGGATGAGTCTGCAGGCGCCCATCCCAGCGTTTGCACAACCCCGCGCTCTTTCCTCTTACGGAAACCCACCTGGCAAAAACAAACCGTGTTGTGCATTCAAATCATGTTTTCTCACCTTTTTAAAGAAAAACTAAACTAGGGTTTTTTCTGTGTGTAGAATTCTGCCCCTTAGGGTGTTGCTTTTCTTTTTTAACCATCTCGTGAGCCCCCCAGGGGAGTCGTGGGGTTTGTGTGAGGCCCCTGCCACCCCCACCTCCCATCCCCTCGCGTCCCCTGGGCTGTTGGTCTCCTGGTCTGGGTATGGAGGACAGACGGCCCTTGTTCTGAGGCTCCCGCCCCAGGTCCACCTCCTGAGACTGCTCGGCTGTGTGGGGCCGGAGCCAAGTCCCTGCCCTTTGCAGAAGGTCCAGGCGGAGCCGCTGTGCCAAGCATCCTGCCGTGAGAAGCCAGTGCTGTTGGGTCGCTGCAGGTCTGAGCACGTGGCCGCCCTGAGGGCGTCCGCCTCACCGCTGCCCCGTTCGCACACCCAGGAAGAGGGTGTCTGCTGCTCTTCTCATAGCAGGAGCCGCTCTGATGGGCCTGTCTCCCCACCCCACCTTCCTACTCCCCAATAAAGTCTGACCCCTCATCCTCTCCCGGCTCCTGTCTGCGCCGAGCCTGGGTCTCACCAAGGAAGCTCGTGGGGGCTTCAGCCCGTGAGGCGTAACGAGGTTAGGGTGCACGGGGGCCGGGTGACGGGTAAAGCCGGGAGTGGTGGACGGACCACTGCAACAGGACTGGCTCTCCAGTTCTTCTAAGCCTGCTTCTGCTCTTCAAAGGGTATCTGGACAAAACCAGGGCATCCTTCCCACGGGCCCCCAGGTCGGGATGGGCGGCCATCAGCCACCACTGCCAGGCACCCAGCTGTCCTGGTCAGAACGCTCCCGGTGCCTTCGGTGGCCTGAGGGGCAGGTGAGCAGCTGGGGCCTCGCTCTGGAGCTGGGAGTCTGTCCCGAGGCACATCTGGGGTGGGGGCGCGGCTGCCCCTCTTGGGACCCTAGCTGGGGGTGGGAGGCAGCCCAGAGAACCCCAGGAGCAGCTCTGCACCAGCCCCCGGGGGGGAGAAGGGTGTTGCCTGCTTACCCAGCCTGCATCCCAGTGGCTGGGCCGAATGGGGGGGCGTAGGGGGGGGTGAAGCGGGGGGGGGGGGGGGCCCTGGGGCTCAGGGAA